TAATTTTTTTTCGTCTACATTTAATACTCCATACATATGCCGTAAGATTCGATGTGACGGGTACTACGTACAATTTTTTTGAATCTAAACAGTCCCTTAGTAAGTTGGGTCCAAAGATATGGCTGGCCGTTGTGGCTGCATCTGCATGCTGCGTGCATGGAGTATTGGAATGCCCTTGTTTAGCTCGCGAAATTTGGAATTTTAGGTTACTGTAGCACTTTCGTTTTTATTTAGCAATTAGTGTTTAATCATAGACTAATTAGATTTAAAACGTCCGTCTCGCAATTTTCAACTAAATTGTGCAATTAGTTTTTTTTTCATCTACATTTAATACTCCATACATGTATCGCAAAATTCGATATAATAAATACTATAGCACTTTTTGGGAAAAAGTTTTCGCGAACTAAACAATGGCATTGTTGTAGTTTCGTGGTGCTTCGCTTCACCTTCAAGCTTCTCTTTGTTTAGGCCGACAAGCAGTCACATCACATGGTTGAAGCGTACGGAGGTGTAGGGGAAAAGAGCAAAGTGACACCGAAAGCTAACGGCCGGGACCGGGAAGAACAAACCTTAGCCTTGTTTAGCGCGTGTTTAGTTATAGGAATTTGGAATTTGAGCGCTACTATAGTATCGTTCGTTTTTATTTGACAATTAGTGTTTCAAACATGGACTAATTAGACTTAAAACGTTCATCTCGTAATTTCCCACCAAACTGTGCAATTAGTTTTTTTTTCGTCTACATTTAATGCTCCATACATAGACCGTAAACATTCGATGTGAAATATTCGATGTTTTAGATTTTGACAATAAACACGCGCTTAGTTCGTACGTCAAAACTTTACGTTCTACCCTCAGAGAATGTTTACACATATAAAGTTAAATATGAGTTAATTATGTTTAATAAATATGTCTCACACTTTACTGATGAATTTTGTAGCTTGTTTTCTTTATTAATATCTGAATACTCATACGACATCTCGTAACATCCGATATGACACCCCTAACTTTATACCTTCGATCTAAACACCACCTGAGATGTACGTACCAAACAAACTGCAACCTCTAGCTAGCATCAGCACGAACCCATAGCACATAGTATGTATATGGATCGGGTTGTTGCGCCCCACACACCTGTTCTATCAGTCTGCCTTTTTTCTTTTCCGTTTTAATAAAACGGATGGGATGGCGTCCAAGAGAACGGCAACGGACGTACGGCGCCATAACAGAACACGGGACCTGCCATGCTCGCCTTTTCTTTTTGCTCGCTTTCTTTGGTAGGGACACTGGCGATAAGTAAGCCATTATTGGCCCCGTTCGGCTTACGTTAAATCCGATTTGTTCGGCTTCTTTTTTTAATAATAATAATATTTTTTTTTCACAACATTTTAGTCAGAATAGTTTTTTTTCAGCCAATTTTAGCTAAGTTTGAGAAGCCGAACGGCGCCATATAAGTGACAAATTGAACGAACTTTCCACGCGGCAGTATCTTTGTCGCTACATACTAAGGGCTTGTTTAGATTGAAGTTAGAAATCAGTATTCGATACTGTAGCACTTTCGTTTGTATTTGACAATTATTGTTTAATCATGGCCTAACTGGGCTCAAAAGATTCGTCTCATAATTTACAATCAAACTGTGTAATTAATTATTTTTTTATTTATATTTAATACTCCATGTATGTGTCTAAAGATTTGATGTGACGAAGAGAGAGAGTGAAAAAACTTGCAATTCAAACGAGGCCTAAACTTCAGGCAGTTTCCGCAGTCTGCGCTGATACATAATACGGCTCTCCGATCCAATCGAGTGGCATCGTGTGATGGATGGTGACATCGTGTCCAGGAAATGTGTGCGGCTCGCGGCTTGACCGCATCCCTTCTGGAAAACACGGATCGGCAGTAGTGACTGCGTGCGTGGAAATGCAACGGACGGTGTGCGTCATCCGGTGGATTCAGAAGCATCCACAGGAGCGATCGCATTCGCCAGCTGCTGCCGTGCCCACCCACACGCTGCCACACAGCCCGCCGGCCATGCATTGTGCTAGGTGTGTGTAACGGTCCATGTCCACTCGAACCGGCCCTATTGGGAGTTACGAATGGAGTGGGCCAGTATGTTCCTCCAAAGCCCAAAAGTAAATTGAATTAGCTCTCTTCGGCCACAGAAGTACAGAGTAGACGTAGTCGTAGTAGGAACGTACCGGTCTTTCGTTAAAGAAGGGAACATATTTCTAAGAGAACATAAAGAAGGGGATACATAATTTGAATCCATATCAAATTTTAGTCTATTTAAAATTAAATGGTCAGATATATCCACATCTTTCACCGTACCCAACCAATTAAGCTAGGATTATTACTTGTTATTAGTCATAGTTTTTTTCTTGTCGACGCTGCCGTACCTATACGTTACTGTATATACGTTCAGCCTACGGTCCGCACCAGAGAGAACGTACTTTGCAAGTAAACATGTGCTACAAATAGGTACGGATATTTTCCGACCTGTATTTATGATGTCGATATTAAATCATATCATATCTGACATGGTTGACACTATCCGTATTCAAATTCGAATTCGGATAGAAATATAAAAACAAACGTAATATCAATGATATCTGTCCCTATCCGATCCGTTTTCATCCATAGCTACAAATAGCCATCACAAAAAGTGGTCAAAATAAAGTAAACACGGGCGTATATGCGAGTACTTTTTATATGCCGACTCGATCCTGTGCGTGCGTGGCTCTAATTATCCCCGATCCCGTCCAATGTTTCCAGTCTTTTCACTGTCGCCTTTTAGTTCGCCTTTTTCTGCATGCATGCGTTTCTGTTCCCCTACCTACCTACCTACTCTAAAACGTGTGTCGCCACGGTTTACGTGTCAATAAATTTCACTCAAATTACAAAAAAAATACGAACAATATTTATATCTTTAAATAAATTTATTAAAAAAACTAGATTTAAATATCTATTAATGATATTAATTATGTGCCATAAATATTAATATTTATCAATATATATTAAGTCAAAGTTGTTTTTTTAAAGCGAAAGCGACAAATTTAGGGACGGAGGGAGTACGCCTCACTCGTTACTGTTGACGGGAACATTCCTATGCTTCATTTGCCTTGTTGCTGGTCTGGTCAAGCAACGGGAAAAATCTGCAGCTGTGTGCTTGTTTAGTTCCCAAAAACTTTTCTAAAAAATTCTACAGTAACTATCACATCGAATCTTACGGATATGTGTATGGAGCATTAAATATAGACGAAAAAAATTAATTGTATAGTTTGGTTAGAAATTGCGAGACGAACGTTTTAAACCTAACTAATTCATGATTAAACATTAATTGACAAATAAAAACAAAAGTGCTACAGTAGCCAAATTTTCAAAATTTGGTGAACTAAACACAGCCTATATGTGGTTTACCTGCTGTCCCTCTTTAGTTTGGCCCAACAGAAACAGCTACTAGTGATCAGTGTGCTATGTATAGTCTAAATGGGGCACAGTACAGTACTCCTACATGCATGGTAATCAACCGAATTGGCCTGGCTGCTGAATCCCATAGTGTCAGTATGTACGTAACTAATGATGATACGCTAGGCACTTAGCCTGTTAGCTTGGCTGATAAAGTACTATTGAGTGATTTATTGTGAGAAAAAAATATTCTTTATTAACTTAAAAAAATACGACTTATGAACCTAGTAAACAGGGCGAAGCCTGACGCGTCCTTATCCAAGTCCGTGCAAGACTCAACCAGCCAACCGACCGACCAACCAATCTATGGGTTGATTGCTATCCCCACGATTCCAGCTGGTGGTTATTTGCATGCATGTTCTCGAATTGCATCCGTGGTGCATGCCATGTTCGTTCTCAGCGGGTCAACATACATGCACGCATGCATGCATGCATGTGTACGCGTTCTGACCGTTTCCCGTGTCATCGTGTGATTTTTGCTCTCTGTCGTCGCCTCGTCGGTACACTCCTACTACCTTCCTCCGTCCGATTCGTACGTCTTCACTTCTCTGTCGCTGGATCTTCCGGCAAACGTGCATCCATCGCCGTCGTCCGGCCCCGGCCAACTCCCCATCCCCATCGGGTAGATATTGTTTTGCCTCCTCCGATTTGTTACAGGTCGTGTGGTGAAGCGTGTAGTACAATATAAGCTGGCTGTTTTTTCAGTCCATATGTTCAACAGATGCCACTACCATTGCAAGTGCAGCATTTGAAGCTGCTGCACTGAGAGCAAGCCATTGAATAACGGAACAGCTAGCATTATATACATAGGAGCTACAAATAAATTCGCATATATAATCAAGAAACAAAGATTGTACAGATCAACATTCGATTTTTTTTTAAAAAAAATTGTTGCAGTGCTGATGCTATACATTTTTGTTTTGTCCATGTGGATACAGAAACATTAATGTTCGATCAGTGTGGTTTGGTAGGCATTTCCGAACCTCTTGTTGTGACAGAAGAAATAATAAATTCGCAAAAAGAAGAAGAAGAAATAATAGGGTGCAGCACATATATTATATACAACATGCATCCCAGAAATATACTCATATATATATCGCCTGAATTCGGCGCAAAATCTACAAAAGTTGCTTTTCCTAATACAACAGCTAGTTACATCACATAAAAACTGTACATTGATTTTTGCACGGCTTGCTTGTTTAAAGAGCAACCGTATATACATATATATAGTAGCACACTGGTACTGTACATATACGATATACACATGACCTTTTCATTCTTCATCATCTCTCAGTGCTATAGAAGAAACAGAAAAGGAAGAGAGTATGTAGGAGAATCAAGAAAGGTGGGGGGAAACTCTCTATTCCATCTTACAAGTCTTATCCATGGATAATGGACGATCTTGGTCACAATTCAGGTCTTGTTTGGATGTATGTGTATCCACCTCAATCCATAATTTCATTACATTCCACTTCAACACATGTGGATTAAGACAAATACATACACATCCAAAAAGGTCTCAGTGTAGTTCGAATTCCCCTCACTGCTGCTGCTTCAGCACTACAAAACACCGCAAGAATCCAACAAAATATCGTGTTAGATGTCGCTTCAAATGCACGGCCGGCCTAAAACACGCTCTATCTCTCTGAAACCACCAGACAAAAAAAGACACTCATTTCTCAATCACCTTGCATATGTATCCAAATTGATGTTCAAAAATATGTATCCAAATTCAGAGAACTTAATAAGTAATCCGTTCTTGATAATAGATCAGAAAATTAAACAAATTACAGAGTACAGAAGCAGTTGGAGGGGGAAAAAAGAAGAGTACTTACAAGGGTTCTTGGGGGCCTGGAGAGTCCTCAACAGGAGCTGCATCGCATCGACCTGAGCTTTGAGAGACGCGGCGTAGTCTAGGGTTTCACCCAGCAGCGTGCACTCGTCCACCATCCCTCTCCCTCCCGGCACCATCTCCCTCAGCGCCCTGGCCCGCCTCCTCGCCATGACCCTCGCGACAGCGCCTGCCGCTCTGGCCGTGGCTCTGCTCTTGGGCCTCGCCCGGAGTCGCCTCCTCGAGATCATATTCTTGCAGCCGGCGGCTGCCACCGTCTTGCACGGCGACGACGACTTGCATTGACCCGAAGGCCGTGCAACGACAAGGTGGTGCGCGTCGTCGTCGTCGTCGGCGGCCCAGCTGGTGAGCGGCCGGCGGCGGCCGTGCTGGGTCGACGAGAGCTCCGCTGCCAGGGCCCAGCTCCAGCGCGGCCCGGCGCCCCTTGCCGAGGCGAGGGCGGCGTCGGCGGCGTGCCTGACGGCGTCCCTCCTCTCGTGGAGGCTCATGCCCCTCGACGACGACGCAGCACCGCGCTTCCTGAGCCCTAGAACCAGGTTCTTGAGGATCGCGTGCCTGAACTTCTTGGACCCTGCAGCTGCACTCATGCCGCCTAGGCTGCTGCTGCTGCTGCCTGGTGGTGAAGAAGACATGGAACGGTAGATGCAATTGCAAGCACGACACACCTGGTGGGGTTTTTTTTTGTCTACCGTACCAATGGAACAAGAATGTAATACAACAGCTCTGAATCCGGGTGCTAATTTGCCGGATAATCTCGTACTAACGATGGTGCTTTAATAATTGTGGATGGATCGAAGGGGAGATATTTGTTTGTGAGCTGAGCTGAGAGCTAGAGAAAGGGAGCGCAAAAGAAGAAGAAGAAAAAAGATAATAATGCAAGGTTGTTAGCTAGATCATCACACACATGAGTGGTGTTGGTGTGTGTGGCAATGCGAGGAACGGAGCCTAGCTATATATGGCGTTCATTGGCTGGGGCTGGGAGGAGGGCGGTGGCCCTAAACCGCTAAACGGCGAGGAGACAGTGCACATGCAGGCACATGGGAGAGGTCAAGGCCCAGGTCCACAATGCCATGCCATATGCATCTTGCAATTGCAAGCTTTGCCTTGCTTCAATGAATTAATATGTATACTCGCGGCGTATACGATGCGTACTAGCAAGTACCAAGTACTTGACGACATGCATGCAATGTCCCAAAAAAACATTAGAGAGAGGCCCCATCGCCCACATGTAATGTATGAGCCAGCTCTATAGCCTTACGTGAACAGTACACTGTACCTGAAAGTTGACAATAGCATAGTCATTTTTATTATATTTTTGGCGACTGTGTGTTGCATGATCATTATTCATTAGTGGTGTAAATGATCGATATATACGATGTTGTTGTGCGCGTACGTCATTTAAATTTGTGTTTCAGTATATATATATATGCTAGTTCCACTTCGGCACCCTTAATCAGTTCATATATATGAACATAAGAAATATATATATAGGAGTATTTCATTTGGTCCGATCTTTAATTCTTTATTAAACATAGACTACTCCACCGATGTTTCTTATAGGTCACATGCATGCACGTTGCTGTAACAACCTTCATATATACATGAATGAACCAAACAGACCCTTTAGCTTTACTAGTACACTAGTAGGGATGATTAGAAAGGGGTTATTAGGGCAAAATTAAATTGATATGGTGATGAGGCTGGGTCATACTCATAGCCCTTAATTAGCGGGACAGGTAGCTTATCCCCCAGTATTATGAGTGCCTTTGGTGGTGGCATGCATGTGACTCCATGCATAAATTGCTCATGTGTACGCTACTACTTATCCTTTCTCGATTCTTATATGAACCAACGAACACGTACAGTTTATTATTCATTCACATGCCTTATTGCTAACTTTCACCTATCCGCATCATGCATGCATCTCTTGCGCAGAGCAACTGCAGCATGCAGAGAACTGGTAGTAGTAGCTAGACAAAATGAAACCATGTGTCCATGATTTTTTTTTTTTTTAACACTTTTTTAAACTAATTTTAAATCTAACATTGTTTTTTTTCTTCAAAACTAACACTTTTGGCCGCGCCTATTGCCATGGCGCGGTGAAACGCTTATGCCGCGCCATGCATGGTGGCGCGGCAGGAGGATGACGTGGCGACGACCGGGGCTGCTGACCGGTGACATGGCAGGGTCTGCCGCGCCACCAATCTTGGCGCGGCACTGACGCGCCACGGCGCATGACGCGACAGGACCTGGACGCAGACAGAAGATCGGCTGCTGTCGGTGAGGATCGGCAGCGACGCGACCATGGACCCCGGCTTCCTTGACCCCTCGCTGGTGGGCTCCGACCAGGTGCTCTAGTCCGACATAAGGTCGCGCAGCACGGTCGACTACTGCGCGTCTAACCAGGGTGCCTTCCTTCGGCGATTTCGTGGCGGCGATGACCAAGCTCGGGAGGATTGGGGTCAAGACGCCGGCCACCGGCGGTGAGATACGCCGGGACTAACGGTTCCCGAACTAGTTGCTAGTTAATCTCGCCGGCAGTGCTGCCGCGACGCATTGAAACGAATATGAAGCAAATAAATGAAGTCCGTGCGCAAGTTGACAAGCTGCCACATGACATTTTCATTGGTTCGACATAAGTTCGACATAACATAACCAACTAAGCCTACAAGTTTCGGACGACAATATTCGTTCGACCTAACAAACTAAGACCTAGGAATGTAAGGATCCCTCGAACGCCTCTGTCTCTTTGGATTTGTTGGCAACACATTAGGAGTGTAGCCAACGTCGGTGTGGTCGCGTTGCCGGTGTGTACGGCTCGTACCCTGCAAGTATATGATATGCACGATTACTTATAATATTTATGATCGTTAGTTCATGTAGCCTACGTATTTAAAGAAGCTACCTTTGTTACTACCTGTGAGGTTCCTTGGGTACTAAGTGGGGTACCACCCAGCTAAGACATGCCAATCTCGTCCTGCGGCCAAGGGTCCCACTGGTGGTGCTGTCTGCGGAAGCCCGGGGGGGTCATTGTCATCGTCGTCGTCATCGTCGTCATCGTCCTCCTCGCTTGCAGGGTCCTTCCCAGCGCTATGATGTGGTGGTGTACGCACTACGAAAGTGGCACCTGTCACCGGCTGAGAAGAGCCGACTGGTGTCCTCAAAGAGCCAGAAGAGGTGCCACCCGACCGCGCCGGGACTGCCGGTTCCACCCATGGAGTGTCCATGCAGCTCAACTTCTCGCTAGCTTCCTGCAGCTCCGCTTCACCTTCTGCATAAATAGACGTTAAAGTTAGTGCATTTCCCAAACGCATATACACTAAAGAAACATTTTCGGAACAGACAAGTTTATGTTTACCTTCACAAAAGCCTCGAGAACGCCTGGCCCCTGCCCTTTAGACTCGTGAAGCTGAAACACTGCTTCGTTGGACATTCTTGACAATTGTGTCGCCTGGATACAGAAACGCGGTTGGACAGTTTTAGTACACATACTTAATACCAAATGGATAACAAATTGTACCATTCGAGTATCTTACCATGTATCTTTGAAGCGGGGCTCTCTGTAGCTGTGTGTCGGCCCTAGTGGCAACGTAGTACACATCTTCGATCACATCTTCCTCTGAGTCCGCGTCAATCATCTCCTCAGTGTACGGGGGCTTGATATGTGTCCTCGTAGACCTATGAAGCCACCGCAGGTACTCGTCGAAGGTGTGCTAGTCATGTGGGGGACCCGCATGGACCGGCTGCCGTTCCATGGTCTGCCACAACTAGATGTACGTGTTGTGTGTCACGCGACAATCCTTGGTCTTGTACCTCTTCCTGCGGTCATACCAGCAACAAAACGATGTTAGTTGTACCACACACACCTCTGAATTATAACTTTGTTATTAATTGATAACGCACCCGAGCAATTCTTGGTTGGTGGAGTAAAGCGGTGGTGAGTAGCCTGTCATTCTTCCAAACTATCTGCAGACCCTGATGGGCAAGTGAATCTCGACCACGTGGAAGAAAATAAGAGGGACGTTGCAGCGATACTCGTCTGACTCATCCCTAGTGACAAGACTCAGATAGTACTCGAGCTCCGGAGCATCCCAAGGACACCAATGCACCTGAACATTTCATAATTGAGTTAGGTTGTCATATAGTGTACATCGAACAAGACAAATGTATGATAGTAAAGAGAGCGTAACCTGGTGCTATGTCAGGACGTCAAGACCGTCCGTGTACTCCCTGTACTTGCGCCTCGCATTCCCTCTGACTAACTCTGCTTCTGTCCAGATATACAGAGTTGTAGATAGTGTATCCTGCCCGTTCCATTGCTGCATTGAACACGATAATGAACTAGCTATTAATAATTTCATCATATGTAACTGCCTCGAAGAATATAATAAACCGAAGTACTTACCGGTAAATCAGTAGCAAGGGGCCTCCCAACGGGCCATCGTTCCCAACACCAAACCTGGAGTAGGTAGGAGCAAGCCCCAAGGTTCGCATACCCTGAGGTGCGACGACAGCAACGATAGCTGTCGATACGTCCATGCCAGGACTGCGTTGCCCTAGCTGTACGCCGCTATGTTCTCCCACGACTAGTGTAGTATGTCAAGGAAGATCCAGCTGATGGTGTTGCCCGAGGCGTCTGGGAAGAGAAAAGTACCAAGGAAGTGCTAGAGCCACACTCTAGCGAACCTGTCGATCTGAGCCTCCTCAGCCTATGGATCCAAGTAATCAAAGCGATCTGTGATCCAGAACAACGAAAGACCGGAACTTTTCCTGAAATTCACCAAAGAAAATGAGACCCGATGGCTGCAGGAAAGCAATGCAAGTATTAAATAGGCTTGAATTGCTCACTTATTTTTCTTTGAAACCTTGTCGTCCGGTGAAAGAAAGCCAGTGAACTGAGCCACCAGCTCCTGTAACAGAACCGACCAATTATACGAAATTAAGTAAGAAAATCATCCGTCAGAGCAGACGATTGAGCAAACTTAAGCCCGTATAACCCGGTAGTCCGTGAAATCACGAAGGATTTCAAACCAACTTCCATTCTAGCCAAGATCGTAATAAGTTTAGCGGTCACCATCACATATTACATAAAAGTTCGCAATCTCAGATACATCAGAGTTTAAACATAGTTATTACAAAACCAGTTCGAATAAAAGTAGCGGAAGTCATTTGTTCAAACCACACACACTCACGCGGAGTTCAAATATAGTGCCAGCGAATGATCATCTCCAACAAAAGCATTAGACGAGACGTAAGGAATTACCATGCCCATGGTCCTAAGCATCACCCATCGCAGGATACAGCAGCGGTTGATACAATGAGTCGTAATACATCCGTCCATCTCGCAACAAGTGGGAATAAACCACGAGTACGAGAAGGTACTCAAATAGACTTACCCGACATAACCGAAAATAAATGACACCAAGGATTATGAAGGGCTTTATAGTAGGGTAGTGACTCATTTGCAAAAGAAGCATTTTTAGCATTTCAAGAACCTTTCTAAAAGCATTATTGCCAAGTTAATTATTATGAACTCATCGACTAGATTTGCACCTATACTAGAGTAAACATGTGATTAAGCGTATAA